CAGCAGAAAAGTATAAAAACGAGGTATAAAAAGTAAAGCCTTATTAATATGCTGAGGTATAAAAGGCTCAAGTCAACTACTTCTAACATTGCCAGTCCTGTGGATAACCCACTACTATTATGGGCTTCTAGACTCTATTGGATTACTTTCCGGAATTCACACACCTACAATATTTGAATGGCAATGGAATACTCATCTCTGACAACAGTAAACAAAAAAGGGTGATATAAATGAAAGACCATTTTGTAGTGAAAAAAAAAAAATATATATATATGTATATTTATGATTTTCTTTAAAGATGGTTTAGAAATGGAAAATGTTAATGAATTTGATGGTAACCTTAGATCTATCCAAAGCTGTCATAAGATGGAACGGGCATTTTCCATCAATTTTTGATATGCTAAATTTAAATCCCTACAGAATGTGATAAATGTATATTATTATACACATTAGCATATTATTATAAATATGTGTGTTGTACATATATGTGTATGTGTATATATCTCTGTATATACAAAGTAGTTAGGATAGACATACAGCTACTTTCTCTTAGTTCAATGAGAAAAAAATTTGTGCTAATAATATTTGGACAGGATATCCTGTCTGCATCTTGTACTATGAATAACTACTACAAAGACAACAATATACAATGTATTAATTATTGTGACTGTCCTACTAACCTGTTTTGAAACTGTCTCATTGCTATTTCTTTCTCAATAATATTACTATGTATGAAAAAAGAAATGATCTTGTTATTATATTTAAAGGTAGACATTTATTTAAACAGGAGAGAGGATAAATCTGTTCCAAACTTGATTAAGCAGATTACTAAAAGGAGAAGTGCTGATGATTCTTCAGCTAAATGGATAGATTTAGCCTCTTTGATGGGCATACCAGCTTCTTGACTCTCAGAGAGCAGCCCTGTCCCTACACATAAGTGCCATCCTTGCCAACTGCGTCTCCCTGGTGCCTCAATCCAACCCATTCTATTGTTCCCTGCCTAAGTTGATGTGCATCATTCTACTACTTTTGCAGTTAATTTCACTGGGATACTGTCACGTTTCTTATTTCTGGATAGAAAAACACCCTCCATTCTATTGTATCTATTATACCTTTCAGATTTTACCTATTCTTTTAGGTTCTTACACTAGATAGAGTAAAATGGAAAGAAACAGAACTTAAGGATTCAACAGAAACAAGGGAAAGGAAAAAAGATAGGAAAAAGGAATAGGGAAAATCATGCAAGTATATACACAGGATGACTGAGGTGATTGTACTAATAATTTTCATCAGTTTTTGAAAATAGCAGTTAATGTGTAGTATTTTCACCTTGATTAACTCTGTATGCTGATACCTGTGATTTAAGCAACTACATTGAGGACAGCAATGTGTAATACAGAAACCGTGTTTGAATGCCTCTCTTCTTGGTCCTCTGACTGTGTACTGTTACTGTTTCTAAGATCTTATCAACTATCATTATATTTTCTTTAAAATTTTGAAAAAGTAAAAAAAAAAACACACACAACAACAAAAAAAGAAGAAATAAAAGTAAAACACCCTCTTTGTCCTTCTTCTGAGTCACTATCCAAACTGCAGTGAGATTGCAACTTGCAGAGAAGCAGCAAGTTCCTTGCCCCATGACTCACCCAAAAATCCCTCAGCAGCTTTAGATTCCTTTGAAAATAAAGCAACAATATCTTAATGAATCTAGAACCATGTTCTTGCCCCTGCTTCTCCAAGGATTAATTCCAGCCCTTTTTCTATTTAGTTTCCCCATTGCTCTTTTTACTACAGCCTTATTAGCAATTTTTAAAGCATCATTTACCCTCTTTACAGTTTATTATACCACAGGGCCTTTGGACATACTGCCATCTCTATCTGACACTCCAGCCTTTTTGCTACCATTGCCCTCAGAGCAGGCCATGGTGTGCACGTGCCTCCTCTAGTTCTCACTCGGGTCTCACAGTGTAGCAGTTACTGCTTTCTTCTCATACCTGCTCATAATCTGTCTACCTTCTATGCCACTAATTATAGTCATCATTTAAAATTTCTTCATAGGGATAATGGATTAATGCGTATCTTTCAGTTAAATTCTATGTTTCATAAGGGTAGATCCTGCCTGCTGTTTAACTCAGTGTTGGCCCATTATAGATATACATTAAAGATATGTAAATACATGCTGAATGAGTGAATCTTTAGAAATAAAATGGCCTATTTGTCAGCAAACATCTCAGGTTTGTTGTAGGAATAAATGAAATCCTGTTTATGGAATTCCTAATGTAGTACCGGGCACACCAGGTGCTCTCAGAATTTATAGCTATGGTGAAAGAAGTGAGGCGGCCACACACAACTCTTCCTCCTTTTAAATAGCAGTGAGGAGTCATTCTGCAGAAAAAGTGATTATCATTACTTTTCTTTCTGTCTGTTGAATTTTTAGAGAGCTAATAATCAACTCCCTTCTAGCCCGCAGAGTTTTATCTTAGTTAAAGGAAGAAAAGATATCTGGATCAGTTTGTAGGAGTTTTAGTCTCCAGCCAGTTGGTCCCAAGACAGGGGTGGCCTTCATGGCAGAGAGGCTACGCAGAGGTGAAAGAGTCCACCACAAGCAAACAGGCAAGAGCACATAACCCTCTTTCTGCCCCTGATAGTTCATGCAGGCTACCTGCCCGCGGGTGGGTGTAACACTCACGCCCTTAATCCTAACAAGAACTGTGCCAAACTACTCAGTGGACTGATTTATTAAGCACACACCCTTGATACCAAAGCTACACACTCTAGATCCAGCCAACTCTGAAAAGCACCCGTGTCACTACATGAGGCTCTATGGGGCACCTAGATATAAGCCATAACATGTTCTAGGTAGGAAATTAACAGCTGTATTAGTGAAAAGAAAAACATTGGAAAATGAAACTGAAATTTGGTGCCAAATAGACCTCTCTGTAGCCAAGTGTAGGGTCAGGCTGATGCCCAGCCAGCCTCAACCAGGAGCTGTGTGCAGCAGTAGACTTCACCTGTATCTGCAGGGCAGGGCAGGGCGTTCCCACTAGGCTTGCCAGCCAGCCTGAAGAAGACTAGGGCGCTATGTGTAGATAGGCCAGCCAACTGGAAACTTGTAGCTGCCAGATTCTTTCATTCTGTTTCACAACTCAGATAAATCTTTCCTCTTTCCATGAAGAAGAGTAAGTTAAAGGTTGGAGAAGCGGCAAAAAACTATAAATCTAATGGAAACTCGTTCATGTAAAATGAGAAATTAGGATTGGGTACTATTATTTTCTTGGATTAATGTGCCAGATTAGGCACAGTGATTTGCACCCTCTTGTAATCTCGCTGTTGCCTTCCCTCTGCTTCTAGTGCCTCATCTGAATTGACATGGTTCTCCCCTTCAGGCCTGAGTGGGAACCCTGAGCAGAGGGACGCGCCCTGAGGAAGCTCTGGAGAGTCCGGCCTCCTTGGAAGACAGGAACTGATGGGAAGCCAGCAGAGGCAGTTTGCTTCCTTTCTCTCATTCTGGACTTTGCTCAAGTGTGGCTTCTCCTTGTCAGTCCTTTGGAGTACTTCGGCATAGTCAAGAATAATATGCGCGATGCCACCGCTATGTTGCTTTACAGCTCCGTGACAAGCTGCGGCCATGTGGAGCCAAGACCTGACGTTTTCTTTGCCGCATTTCTCCACTTTCCCCACCCTCAGCACCACCTGTCAGTACCTTCTAAAGGAAGAGCCAGGCCTTCAGTCTGCACTTTAGACTTTACCTTCCAGAGAAGCTACTTTAAAAAAAAAAAAAAAGTACTTGAAGTGGGTCGGCCAAATAGCTTAGTGGATTAAAACACCTGCAAGCAGATGCAGCGGCTCTGTTGGATCCCCCGGCCAGCCGTGCTGGCCCCACCCCCGGGGCACACTGAGATGGGGATTGAGACTGGGCGTGGTAGGCTCCTGTAATCCCAGCTTTTGGGAGGCTGTAAACAGGCGGATCACTATGAGTCTGATCTAGTGGTGAGACCCTGAACACCTTGTAGACCCTTCCCCTAAAATACAAAATAAATAAAATAAAATAAAATAAATAATTTGACACAGGGTATCACTGTGCAGCTCACACTAGTAGTGGTCCTCTTGTTTTCAGCCTCCCCAGAGCTGGGATTACAGGCATGAGCCACGATAGGTATCCCTGAGCTTGTCTAAGCAGGTGCTTAGTCTGTTGAGCTAGTTTGCCAGCCCCAGAAGAACTACTTCAAAATGTCTATAATATTTGAAGTGAAACTGTATGATAATAGAGTGCTCTTTGATAGTCTTTGGATAGAAATGAGACACTTCCAGTTGCTCTTCCTTCTTCTGTTCTCCCCTTCTTCTATATTAATAGCATTTGAGCCAGGAACATTGCCTGAGCACTACTTAAATTAATGTGCCCATGTAAATTAGGCTCTGGCCAGTGGAGATCAAAAGAAAATGCTACTTGGAACTATACTCCTGTACTGCTGAAGGAAAGGGAGTGCCTGCACTTTTCTGCTCCTCTTCACATAGCTGACATCTTGGCTGGGCGATGGAGGTGGATCAGCCCTCTTCAGTGGACCAAAAGAGAGACCCATGTGAAGGATGGGACTGTTAAGATGGAGGGAATCTGGGGCCTGACCCATGACAAAGGCCCCAAGCAGGTCAGGACAGGTAGGCCCAAGACCTCTAAGTAGAAGAAAAAAGCTTTTATTTAATTTATATCACTATCACTTTAGTCATGTTAAGATAGCTGAATTAGGCACACAAACAATGCTTCATCTTTCAGAACTCTACTCCATGGAGCTGAACAAAAGCTTTCATAAGAAAGTCAAATAAAATTATCTTACAGAGAACATTTCCAGAAACCCATTCAAAGTTTCTACTCCAGAAATGCTTTCAAGCCAGTTTTACCCGCTGCAGCTAAAGACTGAGTGAGCAAACTCCTATTGGCCCATGAGCCCAATGGTTTCAAATGCCAGGACTATGTACATTTGTCATTATAATTTGCCAGGCTTAATAATTATCACCTGCAGCAGAACAACATTGCGTGTGAAAGGTGTGGTCCTCGCTGTGCTCACAACAAACATCACTACTCCCAGCTGAGAGGAGTTTTTGTGAAGAAATCCAATGTTACTTTTAGGAATTGATTTGCTCCTTTACTAATGCCTCCACCCATTCACTTATATTTATTTGTCAATTGCGTGGCATTCAGATGTGAAAGGACAATCAAAGCACAAGAAAAAGAAGGAAGTGAAGGAGAAAAATAGAGACAAAGGACAGAAATGGTGAAAGAGATAATAATAGGTACTGTGAGAGTGGTGCATGTCTGTGTGCCTGTGTGTGTGTGTGTATGTGTGTGTGTTGTGTGTACAGGTCTATGTGTGTAAGTGTACATTAAAATCTTCCAAACAAGAACAACATGTTGTTTCTTTTTTTAGCATCTACCATCTTTAAACATGGAGGGAAATTCATTTTTAAGAACCTGGAATGAAAATGGTTAAGAGCATAATGACCAAAATACATTCTCTGATCATCATTACGAGAACTCATAGAAAATATTTTACCTGTGTAATTTTTTCTGCTTAGAAACAATAGTCATTGTAGACAACTCAGATTCCTACAATCATAAGGCGCTTTTCTGGTGTTGACACGCCTACATTACCAGTGGCTTGTCTCCTTCCACTAGCTGAGGCAGGTTAAAGGTCGTCTTGACCATGGTCATCTTTCTACTCATGCTTAGTAACATTTTAATTTCCTTTTTGTATGCCTGTTGTCATAGCTCATCTAGGTTAAAGCTTACAATTCCAGTGGAATTTGGATATTCATAAAACATACCAACATAAAAAGGAATGCCAAAATACTTCTCAAAATTACACTTGAAGAAAATTACCATTTGGGTATACCAGTGTTTTTGTACACTTAAAATCATTATTTCTGAATTATTATGTTCAACATATAAACATAATACAAATTCATACTCCATGTTAAACAATCCTGAATAGTACTGAAATAAATCATGTCAAATGTTCACATGGGAATTCCTCTAGGGGTATGTTTAGTGCAGTGAGTGGCCTATTACTACTCTTTCTTTCTTGAAATATCTACAGAAAGCCTTGAAAATGAGGCTCAGAGCAAAGAACCAATACTCCATAAGTAATTTTCTAAGGTATGATGCATTTATTATATGCTTCTACAAGGTATCACAAGGTTGTTTCATAAGTTCTTTCTTTAACTCCGAGTAGGGCTTTGTATAAGTTTTTCAATAAAATGTTCACAGTTAGCTCTTCTCTACCTCTGTAAATCACTATGAATCAAAGATGAGCAAGGATTTTCCCAATATTCTTGGAATTATGATACAGTACCATAATAGTGAAATTTCATTTATTTTTAACATTTGCAGCTCCATTTGTTGGACTTATTGAGTCACTAACAGCAATTAATCTGAAAGTAAAAAGAAATCTAGAGTTCCTAAATATTTTCCTCCTTTAAGCAATTTTTTTCCTGAAAAAAAAAAAAAAAGCCATTTAAAGTAAAACGTTCTCTAATCATACTATTGGAGAAAAACAAGTGAAAAAGTCGAAAGAATGTGTTCAAATTTGGAATTCCATTTTCTTTCTTTTTTTTTTCTGTATTCCAGACAGGTTCTACAGAGTCTCACTATGTAGATCAGGATCATAGTGATTCTCCTGTTTTCAGTCTCCCAAGTGCTGGGATTGCAGGTGCACGCCACCGAACCCAGTCTCAATTGCGATCTCAGCATGCCCCACAGCACGGCACACCAGGGATCAAACCCCGGCCATTGTGCACTGCCTAAGCGGGTGCTTTAGTCTGCTGAGCTATCAGGCCAGCCTTTCCATTTTCCTTTAAACATTAAATTTGCAATATTGAAGAAACAATGTGGTCTGTGACAACGGAGGTTCACTGAATGCTCACTCCAATCTAGCACTCCAACACCAAACTAGGTTTGGAACACAGATACATGGTACCAGGTTTTGAATGTAGACATGATAGCAGCCAATAATGAAATGTCATCTTCTTTGTCCTTAATAGTAACAAGCTGCTGTTCTCTTTCAAGTTAGTGCAGCAGTACCTGTGAAATCACTTTCTCACCTGTGCTCAACTGCCGTCCAAATGTATTACTGAACTATAAGAAATTGAGGGAGAGGAAGGAAGGAAAAAAGAGTAAGGAAGGAAGGAATGAACAAACAAAGGAATGAAGGAAAGAAAATAAGAATGGAGGGAAAAAGGAAAGAAGGAGGAAAAGAAATTGGCAGATTCAAGTGGATGCTAGGAAATTGCTGAGAAATGTTTACTGCACTCTCAGAAAAAGTGGGTGTGTCTGCTTGCAAGTGTATATGACAGAGACATTTGCACCTAGAAGCAACAGAAATTAGCATACAGAGGTAAGTTTTTTCATGCTGTGTTTAACACAGGAGCACCTCGTACCTCTACACATTTCTGTTCTGGTCCAGAAAGTTAGGAACAAAAGCCTTAAGAGGTGCATTTCATCATGTAATGTCATTTTCTTTCTTTTACAAGGGTTTTAACACACAGCATACAGTTCAGTGCCCACTTTTATAAGGAATACATTTGAAGACCAGTAGATGCCTGAAACCTAGGATAGCACTGAAACTAATGTATAAATTTTTCTTATATGCACTCTCTGTCTCTTTCTGTTTCTTTCATCTTTCCTTCCAGCACTGGGGATTGTACCCAGAGCCTACATACTGAGCTATATTCCCATCCCTCCTATTGTGATTTTATTAATTTTAAGAAATAATCTTGCTAAGTTGCCTAGGCTGGACTTGAACGTGCAATCCTCCTGCCTCATCCTTCCAGAGTGCCAGAATTTATGTGTCACGTATTCATATTCTACATTCTAGGTCAAAGCATCAGTTATTTGCTTAGCCTGGCTCAATCGGCTGCCTCTAAGTTAAGAATAACTGGACATGGATTTCATTTGCAATTTCATTGGAATTGGTGCAATGGATAGAGGTTATGTCACACAAAAGAAATGGAAAAGTTGCTAGGAAGGGGAATGGGAAGCCAGGAAGGGGAATGGGAAGCCAGGAAGCCAATCAATAAGATCCTAGCACAATGGGCTGAGGAAGACGATGGCAGTGGGGAAGCGCAGCTGCATCACCACCAGGAACTGAGCACCTCCAGTGCTGCTCCTGTTACCAGTTCAAGCTGTCCTTCCTGTTGGAGTCTGTGACTTGGAGAGACATACAGATTTTGGACCACTAGAAACAGACTAGCTTCTTGCTCCAGCATTGTGAGCCTTTATGCAAAGCCATCTGCTGTTTTCTGTGGCAGAACCTTCAGTATCACCTCACAGGGAGGGGCTTTGGGACAGAAAGCCGGCTGCATGATGGCGTCACACCTCAGCTTTCCTTGGGGTGGATGGAGGCTGTTGGGTCCCTCGCTGCTTATGTATTCTGAAGCCCTGCTACTAAAAGCTGCAGGTAGTGGAAAAATGCTCCTAAGATTTCATTAAGGTATGTTTATGAGGAAGAATGAAAGTACAGTCATTTGGGAAAGGAGAAAGAATATAACTGGCAAAGCTTTAAACCAAAATGGAGACTCTTCACAATATTTGTATAATTCATGTTCCAGACATTTCAAGCTGCCTAATTGAACCATTTCAAAATGTCATGTATCAATGATTTCTGAGTATTGCAAGGATACACAGCATTCGTACACACTTGGTGCAGCTTGTCAAACTCTTAACCTACATTTTAAATGGAGGAAAAATAGGATTTCTATATTAGAAGCTTGAACTTTTATCTGTTCCACACACTATTCTATAAAATTTACTTTCTGATGAAGAGGATTATAGATTAATGCTTCCAATTTTTGTCTCACTTGAGACTTCGGGAGCTGTGCATCCTCTGTTCTTTGTGGTGACTATTATGGCAATCTGCTCCCCAGTCTTCTCTTCTATTTAAGTCTCACTGTACTGCTTCCAGGCCAACCCCAAATTGCCTTTGTATTTGAGCCTCTGTCTTCCTGCTCTTTCCATTTCTCCATC